GGTACTCTTTCGAGAATTGGGTGTCATCCTCTAATAATTGTGAGGGTGTCTCGGTGTAGGGATCAGGTTCCGGAGACTGAGCTCTGCTGGCGGCGCCATCTTGGGCCTGTTTCAGCCTTTCTCTTTTGTGATGACGGCCCGCGTCCGTTAATTTTGTCTGCTTCGAGGGAGACATTAGGGTCCACTTAACCTTCACCTCCCGCTGGATTAGGGTAGGTCTTTTTGTTGCAATTATAGATAATCTGGCCTGGGTGGTGCGGAGCTCCTACTCCATGCGACCGATCTTGCCGGAAGTTGGACACGCCCCCAGTCTGCCCAATTTTCTAAATACTTTCATTAGTCCCTGGCCTTATCTTATAATTAGGATAGCCTTATGCCTATCCCACGCATGCTTAAACTCCTTTACTGTGTTAACCTCTACCACTTCAGCTGCAAGGCTATTCCATGCATCCACTACCCTCTCAATAAAGTAATACTTCCTGATATTATTTTTAAACCTTTGTCCCTCTAATTTAAGACTATGTCCTCTTGTTGTGGTAGTTTTACTTCTTTTAAATATAGTCTCCTCCTTTACTGTGTTGATTCTCTTTATGTATTTAAATATTTGTATCATATCCCCCCTGTCTCGTTTTTCCTCCAAGCTATACATGTTAAGATCCTTTAACCTTTCCTGGTAAGTTTTATCCCATAATCCATGAACCAGTTTAGTAGCCCTTCTCTAAACCCTCTCTAAGGGATCAATATCCTTCTAAAGATACGGTCTCCAGTACTGTGTACAATACTCCAAGTGAGGTCTCACCAGTGTTCTGTACAATGGCATGAGCACTTCCCTCTTTCTACTGCTAATACCTCTCCCTATACAACTAAGTATTCTGCTAGCATTTCCTGCTGCTCTATTACATTGTCTGCCTACCTTTAAGTCATCAGAAATAATCACCCCTAAATCCCTTTCCTCAGATGTTGAGGTTAGGACTCTATCAAATATTCTGTACTCTGCCCTTGGGTTTTTACATCCAAGATGCATTATCTTGCACTTATCCACATTAAATGTCAGTTGCCACAATTTTGACCATTTTTCTAGTTTACCTAAATCATTTGCCATTTGGCTTATCCCTCCTGGAACATCAACCCTGTTACATATCTTAGTATCATCAGCAAAAAGACATACCTTACCATCAAGACCTTCTGCAGTATCACTAATAAAAATATTAAAGAGAATGGGTCCAAGTACAGATCCCTGAGGTACCCCACTGGTGACAAGTCCAAGCTTCAAATATATTCCATTAACTACAACCCTCTGTTGAATGTCACTCAGCCAATGTCTTACCCATTAAACAATATTGGAATCCAAACTTAAAGATTGCAGTTTATTGATAAGCCTTCTATGTGCACAGGGCCAGACTGGGAATTAAAAGCAGCCCTGGAAAAAAAATATTTACCAGCCCCATAATGCGTCGCGCCAGCATAGTGTGCAGATACAGAGTTAGAACAGATAACTTAAAATTAAAAAGTACTTCAACGTAAAAAGCGCACTCATAGGTTTCAAAATAAACAAAAGTGCAGATTTATTTTAAGCAGACGTGCCTTTGCATGTAATCAATGTTTCAGTCCAACTACCTTGACATATTAAGGAAAACTTGTTAATGGGACTGAAATGGTGAATGTATGTAGGGCACAACTGAAAAAATGTTTATTTTGAAGTCCTGTGGGTGTGCTCTTCACTTTAAATATGTTATTGTGCTGGAGTATGCACCTAGCAACAAGACTGGGCCAATATCTGCTCATTACATATGGTACATATTAATGAAATTTCTCTGTGTATTATGTATATATAAATGTACATTAATATGTGTAAATATAATATATATATTTATATATAGATAGATATATATATATATATATATATAACTAATATACACATTAACATACATGTCATATACCAGTGACGGATCCAGAGCCTGAGCCTGGGAGGGGCACTTGTAGATTATTTAAAGAAATATTCCATGCACAATAACCACTACTCCTCTGTGTAGTGGTTATGGTGCCAGGAGTGTCAGCACCCCCTCCCAGAGTAAGTAGTCAAACCGTTTAAGAACAGTTTGACAACTTACCTGGAGTCTGCTGGGGTATGGGGCTGTAGTAGGGTATAGGAGCAGTGGTGCAATGTGTGTGAAAGGTTCAGTGTGTGGGTGTGGGCAGTGTGTGAATGTGTATGGTGTGTGTGTGTGGGGGCAGTGTGTGAATGTGTATGTGTGTGTGTGTGTGGGCAGTGTGTGTATGGGGCTAGAGTTCACTCCTACTACTGCGACCACCAGGAAGTGGTGAGAGTGAACTCTAGCCCGTAGCTCCAGGGCTAGAGTTCACCCTCGTGAGAGCCGGAGCGTTGCCCCGGGTCCTCTCTTTCTCCCCCTCACTGCTCCTCTGTGTCAATGTCTCTCCTCTCCTTCCCAGTCTCTCTCTTCCCCCTCTGCATCTTTCTTCCCCTCCCCTTGTGTGTCTCTCTCATTTCTCCATCTTTGTCTCTCTCTTCCCCCTCTGCCTCTTTCACCCCCTTTCCCTGTGTCTCTCCCTCCTCCCCATCTCTCTCCCTCCCCCTTTCCCTGTGTCTCTCCCTCCAACCCATCTCTCTCCCTCCCCCCTTTCCCTGTGTCTCTCCCTCCAACCCATGTCTCTCCCCTCTCCCCATCTCTCTCCCTCCAACCCATCTCTCCCCTCCTTTCCCTGTGTCTCTCCCCTCTCCCCATCTCTCTTCCTCCCCCCTTTCCCTGTGTCTCTCTGCCTCCAACCCATCTCTCTCATCAGTGACTGGAGTGCCGCCGGACCGGCGAAGCTGCCACCCGGCCCGGTGGCTCCAGTCTGGAACGCGGCCGGCCCTCTCTCAGTGTGCCACCGGACCGGCCATCCGGTATCCCGGTGGGCCAGTCCGGCCCTGTATGTGCAACAGTGTCAAAAGCCTTACTGAAATCTAGGTAAGCAATGTCTACTGCACCACCCTGATCTATAATTTTAGTTACCCAATCAAAAAAATCAATAAGATTAGTTTGGCATGATCTCCCTGAAGTAAACCCATGTTGTCTCTGATCTTGAAATCCATGTGTTTTTAGATGTTCAACAATCCTATCCTTTAACATGGTTTCCATCACTTTCCCCACTACTGAAGTAAGGCTTAGTGGCCTATAGTTGCCCGACTCCTCCCTATTACCTTTCTTGTAAATGGGCACAACATTCGCTAACTTCCAATCTTCTGGGACTACTCCTGTTAACAATGATTGGTTAAATAAATCTGTTAATGGTTTTGCTAGTACACCACTAAGCTCTTTTAATAGCTTTGGGTGTATTCCATCAGGTCCCATTGACTTATTTGTCTTTACTTTTGACAGTTGAAATAGAACCTCTTCCTCTGTAAACTCACGTGTAATAAATGACTCATTTATCCTTTTTCTCAACTGAGGTCCCTTTCCTTCATTTTCATCTGTAAATACAGAACAAAAATATTCATTGAGGCAGTCAGCTAGACCTTTATCCTCTTCTACATACCTTCCTTCTTTTGTTTTTAATCTAACTAATCCTTGTTTTACTTTTCTTTTCTCATTTATGTATCTAAAAAAAGTTTTGTCCCCCTTATTTACTGACTGTGCTATTTTCTCTTCTGTGTGTGATTTGGAAGCTCTTATAACTTGCTTAGCCTCTTTCTGCCTAATCTTATAGATCATTCTGTCTTCCTCACTCTGGGTTGTTTTATAATTACTAAATGCAAACTTTTTGTTTTTAACTATTTTGGCCACATCTGCGGAGTACCACAGTGGTTTCTTGAATTTCTTGCTTTTACTGACAAGCCTAATGCAATTTTCTGTTGCCTTCAGTAGTGCAACTTTTAAATAATCCCATTTCTCTTGGACTCCATTTAAATTGCTCCAGTCTGATAAAGACTCCTCTACACATATTCTAATTTTAGAAAAGTTTGTTTTTCTAAAGTCTAAAACTTTTGTTTTTGTGTGGTGTGACTCAGTCACTGTTCTTATATTAAACCACACTGACTGATGATCACTGGATCCTAAACTTTCACCTACAGTAATATCTATACCAAATCTCCATTTGTTAACACTAAATCTAGTATGGCCTCTTTACGAGTTGGCTCCTCAACGACTTGTTTTAGAGACAATCCCAGTAGGCACAGGCAGCTATTTTTGTTTTCCAATTTACATCAGGAAGATTAAAGTCACCCATGATGATAACTTCCCCCTTCATTGTCATTTTAGCTATTTCCTCAACTAGTAGATTATCTAACTCTTCAATTTGTCCTGGGGGCCTATAAATCACACCTACACGAGTTACTGTGTGATTACTAAACTCTAACGAAACCCAAACTGACTCTATGTTCGCCTCACTAACTTTTATTAGGCTAGATTTTATGCTATCCTTCACATACAGGGCCACCCCTCCCCCTTTCTTGCCTTCCCTATCTTTTCTATATAAAGAGTAACCTGGTATCGCTGTCCCAGTCATTTTTCTCATTATACCATGTCTCAGTAACAGCGACTAAATCTACACTATCAGTTGCCATTATTGCCACAAGTTCATGGACCTTATTCCCTAAACTGCGAGCATTTGTAGACATGACTCTAAGCTTATTTTTTAACACACTTGCTACAGGCACCTTCTGTCCTTGTTTTGGGGGACAATTGGATTGATGTTTTATCACCCTTTTGCCCCCCCTCCTAGTTTAAATACATCCTAGCAAAACCTCTGAACTGCTCACTGAGAACATTTGTTCCCTTTTGAGAAAGATGCAAACCATCTTTTTTGTACAGGTTATTTCCATTCCAAACAGAGCTACCATGAGAAATAAAGCCAAATCCTTGCTCCCGACACCATTCACCAAGCCACAAGTTAAAGTCCCTAATACGCATCCGCCTGTCGTTCTGATTGTTATGCAGTGTGGAAGTAACCTGCCGTATATCATTGGCAAAAACACTAAAAACTTCCTTAACCTCTGAAACCTCATTGCAAGCCAAGTCATTTGTCCCTAGATGGACAAGTACATCCAATTTCCCTTCTTGCTTTGCTCGCTTAACAATATTACAGATATGTCTCCCGTCTCTGTGAGCAGTAGCTCCAGGAAGACACCTCACAAGACCACCATTGTCCATCTCCACACCTCTTATGATGGAATCCCCCAACAACAACTGCTTTCTATTAGGCCTTACTATAGTCTCCAAGCCGGTCTCCTCAACACCACTAGTCTCAGTGCCGGTCTCCACAACACCACTAGCCTCAGTGCCTGTTTCCACAACACCACTAGCCTCAGTGCCCCTCTCCACAACACCACTAGCCTCAGTGCCCCTCTCCACAACACCACTAGCCTCAGTGCCTCTCTCCACAACACCATTACACTCTGAGAGTGCAGAAAATGAATTATGTAGAGCAACAGACTGTGCAATATGCCTTTTATTAACAACTCTAAGTCTACCAGATCCTACAGTAATCCATCTGCCATTCCTAGTAGTTCTCTGCGGCAGTGGCTTTGCAGCAGTTCCAGTCTGAGTTTGTTCACCAGATAATTTACAAATCTCAGACTTCAAAAATACAATCTCCTGCTGCAAGATAGAAACTGTCTACAGATTAGACAACAACCAAACCTCCAAAAAGTGGAACGTGAAACGAATGCATAGCAACTATTACACTGAACTAAGTCTGCCATTCCAATGAGGAGAATAATTTCTATTTGACTCTCAGATAAGAAGTGCACCGCAGGTTGCAAATGTACTAGTTAGCACCCAAAAAAAATTGAATTGGTTAAACTGCGATGTAACCACAGTATTTGACGGTTCTATTTGACTCTCAGATATGAAGTGCACCGCAGGCCGCAAATGTACTATTTAGCACAAAAAAGTGTGATTTTTTTAAACCAACAATGGAACACTAGTATTTAAGGGTTTTATTAAACTGCAAGAAATGCAGTACGCAAATGTACTATTTAGCACCAAAAAAATTGCAGTATTAAAAAATGCCTAGATGTTGGGGGCGGGACCTGACAGCCAAGATGGCCGGTCGTGCTTTCTGAGGGCTCCTGCAGTAGAGGGCACAAAAACGCCAATCCTGCACGAACTACTGGTGCTAGCAGCAAACGGAGCCCAGAGAACGAAACAGGACCACACGGGGCACACAATGATACTTGACCCGCATCGAAATCACATGAATATACCTGGACCGGCCACGAGGCCTACTTCGGAGCGGAGCCTGCAGCTTGGGGGAGGCGTCCGATCCCCCGACACAGGACACGCTTGCAAGCAAACAATCGGCACGGCCCTGCAACTCCCCCCACCCCCTGGACCGGTGGGGGATATCCCAGTCCTCGATGGGGGCGACTAACCCTGCACTACAGCCTGACACACAACGGCTCCGGAATGCCCCTGGGACTGAGGCGAGGATGGCGCCCAAGCAACCCGGAGAGAGCACAAAGGAGCCAAACACAAGCCTCACTAACCAACCTGACTACACAGCACGGCTAAACAAAATGTTCGCAGCATTCTGGCGCAGGCTGGCACTGCGCCTACACATTCAAGCCGAAATCAATCGTGAAATTCACCCCTCACTGCAACCACAAAATGGCCGATGCGAAGCGAGCACAGCAAAGCAAACACTCCTGTCCACCCCAACAAGCCCGACAGCGATCCCACTTAACCGCTCGGAGCAACAAATCTCCTTCTGGGCAGGGGAGCATACCGGAACAAAATCCGACCCACCGTCCACACACCCAAAGGGGCATCGGGAGATTGAGACTCCGGAGGGCCCACGGTCTCCCCCCGTATGGGAGAGGGACCCGAGGACACAGGGAAGTGCTCTCCGCTACAACCCGGGCTGGAGGATCCGAGCATGTGCAGCCCCACCATGACAGCCGGTCGGGACCGACCAAGGAGTCCCCACAATACACCCACAGCACCTCAGAGATTACTTACCCAAGAGACTGTACTACCCTGCACGCAGTCGACCATAGCAGCTCCCAGCCAGACACCTTCATCAACTGTAACACCCCTGCACAAGCGGAGTATCGGCTGAACGGGCCACACTAGGGATGCACCAGCCCTCCACCACGGGGCGCAGTCAGTTCGAGGACTGACACGCGAGCTATACATACTCGCACGCCGGGACTTTCTCCTGCAGACACCGCTGACCAGGTCTTACCTAGTATGCACCCCTCAGATGCATCTGAACTGATGCTACTTTTTTATTTTATATTTTAAGTTTGCATATATTACATGTCCAGTTAATAACAATATGTCGCTGACTTAATGCCATGCCTACAAGGAACCGTTCACAGCCAGCTAGGCAGGGTAAAAACGGATCTAATTGCACATGTTAAAATTAAAGCTTGTTGATAGTGGATGGGCGATGATAGCCAGCACTCAGACTGTTTATGTACCTATAGTATGTTGCTAGCCTATGTTTCCCATGCCTACTAGCCTAAACACCTACAGCATAAAGTGTCTACGCATAGTTATGTAAATTTAAGGATATAACTGTTCAAGCCTGTTTATAGCTTAACTTCACTATTGACAACAATGCTTAAAGGACATATCTACTAATGCTGATACTTGTATGTCATATATCACTAGATTGTCTTACTACGTTTAAAAATGTTAGAAAAAATGTGCTTTCACCTCAATGCCACATATGTATAAATCTGTGATATTGCTGTGATTATGTTTGCTGTTGTGGCAATGTATATCATCTTGTCAAACCATGCACAAAAAAACAAAAAAAAAAACGCCTAGATGTTGCCCACTGAGCTACCAGAACAGGATTAAAGTAATGTGCCTGGCACACATGCAGTAGCAAGTGCACTGCACTCTCTGTGGCACTGGGCTCAGGGCAGGGTACAAAAATGTAGTATAGCACCCACAAAAATAATTGAAGAGCGTAGTTGAGCTGTGATAGGTCTCATAATCCGTCTCGTCTGAAGAGTCAACCAGGATAGATCCGCATATATGGTGATAAGGGGCTTCATTCAAGAGTAGGGGTTGTGATTCTTGTTTCAGCGTTGTGAGAATCTCTTCCCTGCATGTATGACAATGTAACCGCCAGATAACAACATACCTGGGCTTGTCTGACGCTGTGCCCCGGGTTTCGATGCCCTATGAGCTCTGTCCAGGAGTATGATGTTGTCCCTTGGCTTGCTCAGTATCAAATTGGAGAGTTCACATAGGGTCAGGTAAATATCTTCCTGTTCGTTTTCTGGGATGCCGCAAATTCCCAAATGATTGCGGCGCCCACTATTGTCAAGGTCGTAGAGGGACCTGGGGAGTGCTGAAAGGTAAGAATTTTGATGTTCCATGGATTCCTGCAGGGTACTCAGTTGAGTCTACATGTCAACTCGATCATCATCAAGTCTACCAACTCTGTCTGTTACCTGGTGGATGTCTTAGCCTATCACGTCTATTTTGGAATGGACAGAGGCTTCAAGCTTGCCCAACATGGTGGCAATATCCTGCTTCGACGGCAGGTTCCGGAGAATGATCCTCAGTTCCCCTTCTGCTGGAGGGTCAGGTCCCACCAGGCTATATGGAGGCAAGTTGGATTGACCATGTTCGGTCCTACCATGCCCACGTAGTTGTCCGCTTTATCACGGAAATATTTGGTTAGAGCGCCAGATTTCCCCGATGGGGCTTTGCCTTACACTTGTTGGGAGGTTGTAGATCGTTTAGGGTGTCCCATCATTATTTTTGAGGCCCGATGAAATTGTGCCTGTTGCGGTCGGAGCTGTTTTAGAACGCGTCAATTCAGCTGCAATGCTGGCTCCGCCCCCTTCTTTTTTACTTTTTGTGTCTGGCCTTCTGGTGGATGTACATTTCTGCTATTTACCAAGTGATGCAATGTGTTTTTTTGGGGGGCGGGAGGGGGGGTCGGGGTTGTTAGAGTAAAATTGCTAAATGAATACTCCCACACTGATTTAAGTTCAGCCCATCAGCCTTTCATTGGGTGTCCACCGAGAGAAATTGTACTCAAGAAAGTAAAAAGGAACCTGGGCACTACTGTTTCACAACAAGTAATAATTAGCTTAAAGGGACACTCCAGGCACCCAGATGACTTCTGCCCATTGGAGTGGTCTGGGTGCCAACTCCCACTACCCTTAACCCTGCAAGTGTAATTATTGCAGTTTTTTATAAACTGCAATAATTACCTTGCAGGGTTAACTCCTCCTCTAGTGGCTGTCTACTAGACAGCCACTAGAGGGCACTTCTTGGATCATAGCACAGGTTTTCTGTGCTAGAGCATCGCTGGACGTCCTCACGCTGTGTGAGGACCTCCAGCGTCGCTCAATTCCCCATAGGAAAGCATTGAAAATAATTTTCAATGCTTTCCTATGGGGAGCGCTAATGCGCGTGCGCAGCATTGCCGCGCATGCGCATTAGGTCTTCCAGCGGGCGGGATCAGTCTCGCCCACCGGCTGATGTAAGGAAGGGGATGAACGGTGGAGACCCGAAACCACCGCCGAGGGACATCGGCGGGGGTCTTAGGTTTTCACCCCTTCAGCAACCGGGCATGGGAGGTGGGAGGGAGAGGGGACCTGCAGTGCCAGGAAAACGGAGTGTCCCATTAAGTTGTTATGGGGGTGAAAATGTTCCTTCAACTACTGGGAATTAATTATACCTGTGAACGATTTCTCATCACACACACAGCTACATACTATAATCTGTGCTCTTACACCAGACAGAGACAGGTTTTTTAATTTGGAAAGACAGCAGCAGCTGATAAACATTAGCAACATGTTTGGAAACAGTAACTAGCCTAATTAATGAGTCTCATTATGGTTTACGGGAGTGGTTAACAGTAACTATCACTAGTGGCGAAATTTTGCAGTTGGGAAACAGCTATTTTAGACAGTATGACAGGTTAGTAAAGCTTACCGACAGCAATGAAAACAAGCCCCATTGTGGCCCCCCGCCATTTTTGTTTGACCCCCTTAGACAATTTCAGGCACATTCAAAATATATGGCCTGCAACCCCTTCAACAAAACCCTAACCCCTTCATCAGCCCCCTGCCCCCCCTTTATCACCAGTCCCCTGCCCCCTTTATCACCAGCCCCCTGCCCCCTTCACCCTCTTCATCAGCCCCCTGCCCCCCTTTATAATCTAGCCCCCTGCCCCGTTCAATAAAACGCAATCGTTATATATATAAAAAAAATTTAAAAAAGAAGTAATAAGGACAACTTACATTAAAGGCTGCTG